CCTTCCTTGTCATCTGTTGACCCCAGGCCAGTCCTCTGTTCCTAGGCTGGCTCACTGGCAGTGTCTTTACTACTCCTTTCAGTACCCACATGGATGGTCTTCTCAATATTCTGGCTTCTCAGTGTTTTATTTCTGGCTTCTCCCTTGTCTTGTCCTCCATCCTGTCTCATCTTCTCACTCGTAGTCATACCCTTGACTTTGTCATTGCCAGTAACTGCAGTTGCTTATAAGCATCTCCAACTCTGATCTCCATTTCAAACCTCACCAGCTAACTGCTCTAGTACCTCCATCCCACCAATCTTTTGACCATATTGATTCTTAAAATTCATGAAATCTACTGACATGTCACAGTTTCTTACTCTCCTGATGGCCTCTCTTCCCTTTATACCTACTTTATATTTCATGTTATTATTTGCTTGGCAAAATCCAATTCTAATTCAGTCTATCTCTCTGTCTAAATCTTAAATCCCTGAGCTGAATATCGTTGGAGCAACACATGTCATCTTGTCAACTGATATCACTTTAATTTCAAGACTAGTATTCTCCAAGGCCGGCTCATGCTGTCTACCATCATGCTGCATGTTCTGGGCTATTCTCTCTTTTATACTTTTATTTCCTCTCGCACTGTCTTCTCTATTCTTACTCTTTTTTTAAAAATATATTTTATTGATTTTTTTACAGAGAGGAAGGGAGAGAGATAGAGAGTTAGAAACATCGAGAGAGAGACATCGATCAGCTGCCTCCTGCACATCTCCCACTGGGGATGTGCCCGCAACCCAGGTACATGCCCCTGACCGGAATCGAACCCGGGACCCTTCAGTCCGCAGGCCGACGCTCTATCCACTGAGCCAAACCGGTCTTGGCTCTATTCTTACTCTTGATAATACTCTAATTTCATATTTTATTAAGAACATAGATGCAACTAATAGAACTTTGATCAGCTCTCACCACCGTATGCAGTATATACATGTTCCAGCATCAGTGCTCGCATTCTTTATTCTTGTTTGAATGAATGTAAGGGTTTCTGTCAACATCTCCACACTAGACTCCTTCCTTTTTTTGTCACCTTTTAAAAGATATGGTTCTTTCTAGTCATTCTTTTTTTCTCTATTTCATTAATTTTTCTCAAAATCATCAATTTTCCCTTCTCTACTGGTTGTTGCTCCTCTCTACCTTCCCCCCTCTCCCTGCTTTACAGCAAAATTTCTGCAAATAATTGCCATTACTCATGGTCTTCAATTTCTTTTCCATTCCCTCTTGAAATGGGCTTTTGTTTTCTCCCTCCTTCCTACTTGCAGACACTATTATGTTGAGGTCACCAGTTGTAACATTTTCGACCTTATCTTACCTTCTGGTAGCATATAGCATAAGTTGATTACACTCTCTTATAAGCACTTTCTTCTAGGCCAGCACATTCTCCTAGTTTTCATGCAAACTCTTTGGCTTTTTTTTTTCCTTCTCAATTTTTCTGATTTATTTCTTACCTCTTGCCTTTGTAACATTGAATTTTTTCTCTCTATGTGTTCATTTAAATTTACATGGTAATCTCATCTAGTTCTGTGTTTTCTTTAATGCTATTTTTATGTGTAAGACTTTCATATATCCAACAGTCAAATTAATAGCTTTATCTTAATATCTGAAGGTATTTCAAACATAATATCTCCAATACTGAACTTCTGATATCTTAACATGCTTCTTCGTGGTTTCCCCTTTTTTAGTTAATGGCAACTCTCTTCAGGCTGCTCAGGGCAAAAGCCTTTGAATCGTCTTTAGCATTTCTCTGACTCATACTCCACATCCATTTCATCAGCAAATTTTTTAGACTCTATCTTTAGACTATATCCATAACCTCATACCTTTTCTGCTGTTATGATTCATCATTCTTACTGGGATTATTGTGATATCCTGTAATCAATTTTGCTGTGTCCATCCTTGCCTGTTTATAGGCTATTCACCAAATATCTGCCAGAGGGGTCCTGTTGAAATGCCATTTCAGAGAATGCCATGATTTTGCTCACTGGCTTCCTGTCAAGCTTACCTACTTGACTCATTCTCATAGTTAAAGTTTACAGTGACCTACAAGGCCCTCTCTCTGTGCCATCTTCCCATACCTTTCTATTAACTCTTCAACTTTGTCTTCTCTCACTATTTCTTACTCCAGACCATTCTGAACTTTTTGTCTTTCCCCTGATGTGCTAAAACATGCTCAGACCTCAGGACCTTTGCACTAGCTGATCCCCGTGTCTGGAACATATATTCCCTTGGGTGTATGCATGGTATCTTGTTATCATTTAGCACACTATATATTTTACTCATTTATTTTGTTTTTGTCCTTTACCTGATTGGAATATAAATTCCATAAGGATAGAATTATTTTCCTGCTGTCTCTTCTGTATCTAGAATAGTGTCTATATAGTATTAGGTACTTTGTAAATGTTTGAATACGTGTGAATTTTTAGTCTTCCGTATCATGGTTCTTCTGGTACAAATAGAAATTCAGCCTTAGGAGTTAGTAATTTCTGGAGATGACACTTAAACCCACAGCTGTCTTGGCTAAGGGTGTAATCACTGTGTGTATTATCAATTTACCTATTGGGACACTGTGTGTATGAATTTTATGTCAGGTTAATTGCATTATAACACAGAAAGTCATCAGTATTTTACATTTTATGTGTGCTCTTCCCTCAATCATTACCTGTTTGGAAGAAAATAGAAACAGATTTTTAACATTTAATTCATGTTGAAGCAGGGTTTGTTTTTTTTTTCTAGATCATAGAAACATGAAGAGAGTTAAGCTATTTCCTCAAATTAAGCATCTTTTGAAGTAAGAATTCTGATAAACTCAACTTTTCTGCCTTCTAGGAGCAAAACGGGCTATATTTACTGAGATGAAAAATATCTGAATCCAGGGAACCAGAAGTAGTAAGGAATAAATAATAACACTGTTCCTCTGGTTCAGATGGTTCAGGTATTCCACAGGTGTGGATTCCTACAGGTGGCAGCTGGAATCTGTGTTCATTTTCTGCCAGTGAATTGTTCTTAATTCAATGGAATCATAAATTTTCAGAAATTATCAAGCAGCTCACAGTCAAATAGGGAACTGATGAGGGATAGAGGTCACAGTCAGAAGGTAGTCACAGATCGGGATGAGTACGAATCATGCTTTAAGTTTTTGCAGCTGCTTTTAGAGTGCAAACTGTAGGATGTGTCTAGTTGGCATTTTCTAGCACCTGCTCTATTTATGGTTCATATTCAAAAGGACTGATTGAGCGGAAAGTTAATTCTATATGCCAGGAAGAACTGGTATCCCTGTATTATGGAACTGAAATATGAATCATAGATCTGTTCCCAAACTTTCAGACTGTGGCTATTGCTTGTATCTATCCATCCAAATTCCTGAAATTAGAATTTTTCATGAAATGCTAATATGGTTTGAGAGGTGGTAAAATTTCAGATGAGAAATGAGTTGTATATGCTAGTAACATTATACCTTGTGGTTTCAGTGGAAAACCTAAGGTATTTGTTTGTCAAGTTCCTTTAATTTGAAAGGATCTCAAACTCCAAATTCTGCCTCCTTTTTAGTGGGGATAGCTGAAATCTATGCTCAGCTCTTTGAGCTTCCAGTTACCTGCTGTGCTTTTGGAGTCTCTCGTAGGCACAGGGGTCAACCGAGGATTTAAGAAGATTTAATGCATACATTTTGGGGTGCCCTCATGTAGTGCCCTTCTTTTAGGGACTAGTGCCTCAATTTCCAGCCACTAGCAGTTCCAGACTCCATTCTTTGACACCCCATGCCGATAAGACTGTTTGTCTGTCTGAATTCTAGCTGTCTCATGTCTCAGGCCCTGGGAAATCACCTCAAGGGATATGCCTTATATATGTCATGCTCATCCACTGCAATTCAGTTCTTCTAAGGATCCAATCTCTTTCAGTTTAGGCCTTTTTTTTTTTTGCCTCTCCAGTGCCTATAAGTAGTTATTTGTATATTTTGTTCATTAGATGTGTGAGATTTACTCTGCCATTATTGAAATTGGAACCTCAATAACTTGGGATACATAGAGGTCTCATTATCATTCCGGTCAAAATACTTTCTCCTTTTCATTATAACTTAATCTTTGAGTCATGAGATACTTAGACATATGTTTAAAACTAATTATCTTTTTAAAATTATCTTTTAAAACTAATTTTCTAATTATCTTTTTGTTAATAATTTCTAGCTTAATTCCATAATGGTCAGAGAATATATTCTATATTACTTTAATTCTTTGAAACTTGTTGAGATTAGATTTATAACCCAGTATATGGTTAATTAATACTAGTGTTCTCTGTTAGGTGTATAGTGTTTTTATCAGGTAAGTCATGTTTGTTGATGGTGTTCAAATCTTATATAGTTTTTACTTTTATTTTGGTATGCTTTATCTATTAGTTACTGAGATTGGTATGTTAAAATTTCCCACTATCTCTGGAATTTATCCATTTCTTTTTTCAGTTCTGTTTGTTTGTTTGTTTGTTTATTTATTTGGAGCCCATGTTGTCATAAGAGTTTAAATTTAGAACTATGTCCTCCTTGTGACTTGAACTCTTTTAAAGAATGAATTTTCCCTCTTTATCTCTGGTAATGCCTTTTCCTTTAAAGTCTACTTTGTCTGCTATTAATGTAGCAACTTTCTTTGTTTTTTTTATTGTATATATATTTTTCTTTTTATTTATAACTTTCTGATATCTTTATTATTTATTTTATTTTAAGTAGTTGGATTTTGCTTTTTTAAATCTCAGTGTGATACCTTGTCTTTTAATTCTAACATTTCAATTACTTAGAGTGAATATAATTACTATGTTTGCATTTAAAACAGCTATCATACTAGTTATTTTCTATTTCCTTCACCTGACCCTTGCTTTTTTTCCCCATCTCACCAACCAACTCATTGACTTTTCAGTTGTATTGTGCATTACATTACTCTCATTTGTCATAATAAAATGATTTTATTTTCTTATTTTAGGAAAAGATAGAGTTTTTAATACCCCATTGTGTGAACAAGGAATTGTTGGATTTGGGATTGGAATTGCAGTCACTGGTGCTACTGCCATTGCAGAAATTCAGTTTGCAGATTATATTTACCCAGCTTTTGATCAGGTAGGAAGATTGCAGTTTACTATAATTGGTCATTTCTAAGATTAAGTCCATGAAGTATTAAAGTATTGCCTCTACTCTCCCTATCTTAAGAACTTAGTGCTACCTTTGAGCTAGTGCATTACAAGGTATGTTGTTATGGCATATATGTAAAGATCTAATAAAGGGTCGAAGAAAATGGATGGGAATGAAGGACTCCCTGTGACATGTCCCTTCTCTTCTCCCTTCTCAGATTGTTAATGAAGCCGCCAAGTATCGATATCGCTCTGGGGATCTTTTTAATTGTGGAAGCCTCACCATCCGTTCCCCTTGGGGCTGTGTTGGCCATGGGGCTCTCTACCATTCTCAGAGTCCTGAAGCTTTTTTTGCCCACTGCCCAGGAATTAAGGTATACTCATTTATGTACTTTATTTGATCTCCATTTGAGGTTTTCATTTTGGTTCATTCTATTAATATTAACTAAAATGCTTATCAGAGGAAATCAAACAGGATTTTGGGAATTCATGTAAACCTTTTAAAAAGAGGGCATAGTTTTGTTTTGTTTTTTATATTCATTAATCCATTGCTCAGATTTATAGAGTATTCTTTTTGAAATAGTACCTGGCTTGATATTAACCCTTTCCCCAACAATTTTTTTGTTAAAAACGTTTCTTTGTCAGACTAATTTTTTTATTTTGGTTCTATATAGTATTTTTGATGCTGGTTATGAAAACAGTTTGTAACTCGTCTTCCTATAAACCAAATTTTTTTTACCATATTTTCTTAGTATACTCGTCGACGACTGAAAAAGAACATTTTGTGAAAATGAGTATACACGTTTCTGCCGGGGAAGGGGTTAATAGTACCTGATATTAATTTTAGGCTTCAAAGAATAAGACTGAGAACATAGTTGGTTTATCTTCCTCTTTTTCAAAGCTCTGTTTCCTTCTAATAGGTCTTTTTCATTTAAATTAATAAATCTTTTTCTGGGGTAAATTAATAAATCTACTCTTTAATTCTTAGTCAGAGGGATAGACTTTTGCTTTTAGTCTGTATGGTTTGAAACAGACTGACAGAGGCCTCTGTTACCCAGGTGTGCTTTTCACTCCAGGGAAGGTAATATTTGCTCTAACAGTGAAAGTTGAAGGATCTTTCTTTGCCTCCCACAACAGTCTTCAATTTCTAGAATAACTTGGGTCTTTTAATAAAAACATTTTGCATATTTTCTTTTCATTTTTTACAATATCTTCTTTTCTAGTTCTATTTACTAGAGAGCTTCCTTGGGAATCATTATAAAAACTCATAGATATGTTCACCCACGGCTGTGTGTCTGTTTTTTGATAACATGAACTGGTTGTGAACATGTATTTATTTATTTATTTATTTATTTTCTTCCTAAAGCAAAGTCATAAAGTTTTCTCAGTAGAGTACAGGTTGTATAACTTTTCGATGTAAGCTGGAAGTGGTAAATTGGGACAGAAGCCACAGTTAAGGAAATAGTTATTTTTGTGCTTGAGCTGAACATTGATTCACATTTAATGTTTATGTTACCCAGTATTTTTAAGAACACATCTTTTCTCTCAATCCTCTACTTTTTCTACCCTCTCCCCCTTTCTCTTTCTTTAATCCCAAATGAAAATTGTACATATAGTACAAAATGTTAAAAATAAACACATGTAGAAAGCAGAAGAAGAAAAAATAAAGTGGGAACATAAGATAAAGACATTGTGTTGTGGTAAGCACTCTGTCCAGGAGTTTACAGAAAATGGAATAGTGTCCTTCAATAAAAATGCTATGAAAATGATTTTTGAAAGCCAAATATAGCTTGCTTCAAGGAACCTTATTTAAGCCTTTGTGATAAATTCAGGTTTATTTTAATGGTAACTTTTTCTACATAACTCTTATCTTTATGCAGTTATTTAGTAATCATTGAAAATTAGATGCAAGTTTATGATTTGAGGTAAAATGGTGTACAAACTTGAGCTGTGTATCAGTCAGAACTGGGTGAGAATTCCTGGTGTAGCAAGCGATGTAACCTTGGGCAAGCTATTTGACCTCTCTTTAAGCTTAGTCTGCATTTCTAAATTGGGGAAAATAATAATAGCTACCTTGGCGAGTTGCTGTGAACAGTAGATGAATTAGTCCACATAGTGTTCTTGACCCAGTTAACACATGTGCTACCTCCTGTCATTACCATTTTCTTCATTATCAACCTCATTCCCAGGAAGGTTCTGGAATCTTTTCCTGTTAGCTGGAAGTGTGTAGTATCCACACTTTTCTTTAGCTTTGCATTCACAATGTTATAGTGCTTGATTGTAAAGTTCCGTGGATTATTATTTCCTGTAGGAAATGCAGACCATGTTTTTCATGGAAGAGGAGATTTTGATATTTAAAATTGGAGAAGAGAGTTGCATACCCTTTGGAATTAGCTGTAGAGTATTAGTAGAAAATATTTATTTATTTATAAATACAGAAAGATACTGACAACTTTACTTTTTTGTTTTGATGAATGCTTTTTGTAGAATCCTTTTATTTTTTATGTATATGCAAGTTTAGCTCATTAAGAGAAGAGCATTTTTAATCACCAGAATATGATGGGCATCTAAAAAATGTTGAACGTGTTGGCTATTTTGGGACAGAATGTAAATTTTTATTAAAAATTATAATTAGGCTAAAAATGCCAGATTTCTATTTTTAATTAGTAGCAATTGGTTTTTTAAATGTCAACTCTTATAATGAATTTGCTGGGATACATTTTTACTGAAATTGTCTTTGAAAAAATCTGTTTTTGCAGGTGGTTGTACCCAGAAGCCCTTTCCAGGCCAAGGGACTTCTTTTGTCATGCATAGAGGATAAAAATCCTTGTATATTTTTTGAACCTAAAATACTTTACAGGGCAGCAGGTAAAGGTTTTCTTTATTTTATATTTGTGAATATCTTCATATTTTTTATTTCTTACAGTTCAAAAAATTATTTTTCCTTGTAAGTTTGGTTTATACTTACCTTGTAGAAAAATTCTGATTTGTTCCATATTTAGCTTTTTCTCAGTTGTATATTTTATGTTAAGTTTAGGGGAAATCTATCTAGCCATTTTATATTGATTGTGGAAAAAGAAGCAATGTGAATTATTTGAGAAATAGGGACTATGGTCATCTACATAGTTGCTTAGTAAATGTGGGTTGCATGAAAAAGTGAATGAGCTTATTATACTAAATAACATTAAATGCCCTTATAGCTGAAGTGTCTATATAGGTG